CAAAGAAAACAAGCAGGAAGAACATGCTGATACTTGCCATTTCGATATAGAATTAATTGCCAGTACTTTGTGTCCCTCTTAGCGACTATTTTCACACTTAGCGACCGTTGCAGCATCCTCATGGTCACGTGATCAAAATTTTGATGTTTGGCAACAGATTTGTATTTATGATGGTTTCAGTGTCCTGGGGTCATGTTTGACAAAATGTAAAATTTTTAATCAAGCCCCCCCCCCCCCCCCGGTCAATGGTGTCTCTCTTTACCAATCTGAAAATCTGGTCACCTTATTCTAGGAAGTGTAGAAGGACACGGATGACCATGTTCCATATGTGCAAGTCCAACCACAAGTCATCCATGAAAAAAGCCACTAAATATCTCTGTCTTTATCTCATGCCTCATTTCAAATCAGATTCCTATCTGTAGAACCTTCTGTTGTTGCAGCCTTAGCACTTTCTCAGCAACCTTCCCTGGAAAGGGGAGCTGGTGATAAGATGGAAATTATCCAGGTTATGAAATCCAGGCCTAGCTTCTTATGAAGTAGAAAGATCAGTTGCTTTTTCAGGCTCCTGGAATCTCCTCTTCCAGCAAGATGGGCAACCATAACAATGGAGTTGATCTTTGAAAGCTAAGCAGGGCTACATCTAATTACTACTTGGATTGGATTTGGAGACCATATGGAAATAACAGGTGATGAGAGAAACTGAAAAGTTGCAAAAAAATTGCAGCGTAACTTCCGTATTATTATTACCAAATAAGCTAGATGGATATATTCATGAAGCCATTTCCTGGTTTCTCCCAAGCACAGTGGACTATAAACATTTAATAGGCATATAAGAATCCAGATGTCAACATCCAGATGTTTCCCATGCAGCTGGGAAAGTTCAAGGAAGAAGAATTACATACATTTCAGCAAGATATCTTTAATGTGAGTCTGGGGTAGATATCAAATCTTGAAAAAGTGTAAGAGGAAATTCACAACTCAATTACCATGAATTAATTAGAGCAGAGTGATTTAACATTCAGTTTCCCAGATTTCTCTCCTCCTGGGCTAAGTCGCCTTTTGTGAGATACACTATCAATTGGTGTGCCCACTATCTCTTTACTGTTTATGACTGTCTTCTCTTCCACGGGTTTCCCAGCTTCCTAATAATTTCTCACACCAGGCTCTGAGAAGAAAGGTTATTGTAGAAGAACTAAAAAGCCACTACAAAGAATTCCAGTGATTATTATGAATTGAAAGCAAGTTCAATGTATAGTAAACTTGTGATTTAGCTTTGGCATCTCTTCTTTCCACCCATGCTATGCAATGATAGGTAAGCCTCTCTCTTTTGGCCATGAGATCTGGCTTTGATCATGTTCAGATAGGATATAAGATTGTTCTCTAACTGTGTTGAGAACAATATCTCACAATCACCAGAACATAGCACTGTCTACAACAAACAGTGATGACATCAAACAACATGTATAAATCAAGTAAATGGTACAATTACAAATGTGTGTCATACTGACTGATGGGAGTATGGGAAATGTGTCATTTATGACATGATGTCATCTCACATAGGCCAACAACCATTCCCCTTGCCTACTTCATGGCAGCCATGCCCAGAGATGAATTCAATTTGGAGACTATCTTAACCATTTAATTATTATTTATTAGAATTATATTCTACCTTTTGTTTCAGAGGTTCAGTTATAGGGTGACTGCAAAGACATACCATATATGTTATAGTATGGTATATTTTTCTGTTGTTTTTAGATGTGAAGCTTTCTGTCAGCTCAAACAATGGGTAAGTT